CTGGAAGTTTCAACCCTACTGGCTAGGTGTCCTAGTACATACACTATAGACACAGTATTTAAAAAAATATTTATTTTTATTTTATGTGTATGAATGTATTGCCTGCATATGTCTGTAAGTACACCTGTGTCATATAATGCCCACGGAGGTCAGAAGAGGGTGTTGGATCCCTTGGAACAGGAGTTACAGATGGGTATTAGCTGCCATGTGAGTGCTGGGAATCAAACCCTCTGTAAGAGGTCCTCTGCAAGAGGACCCAGTGCTATTAAGTGCTGAACCATCTCTCCAACCCCTAGATAGTATTAAACCAACTCCTAATGACTTATCATTATGACCATAGATTAGGTATAATCAGAGAAGCTTTTGGCAGTATATGGTGATTAACACAGAGACCCACAACTGGTCAAGGTGCAGAGAATAAGAGACTATGGAATATTTGGCTCTAAATGGACATCTATATCACATCCCCTCCTCCCAAGGCTCATGCTCATCGTGGAAGAGGGGCAGAAAGATTGTAAGATCCAGAGGTGGTGAAGGAATACAAGGAAACTGTTTACAGGCCATAACAGAGCAGTTGTACATATGACCTCATAGCACTTATGACAATAGGCACAAGATCTGTGTAAACTCAAGGCAGAGTTTGGTGGTCATGATGTCCTTCTCACCCTTAGCTGAGGTGCTACTGGCTTCTGGGAGAGGGCGAGTCAATTTCTTTGAAAGTGTGGCCCCTGGTAAGTTACGGTGTTCCAGTAGACAGCCACATATCCAAAAGTACATGGGCAGCACAAATTGGACTCAGTGGGATTATAAAAAAAGGACAGAAAGTTGGGTGGTTGGGAGGGGGAGGGGGGACCTGGAAGGAGTTGAAGGGGGTGAATATGATCAAAATACGCTGCATGAAACTCTCAAAAGGAACCGATAATTTTTTAAAAGAATGTTAATTTGTACAGGAACTATTGTTTCTGAAGCAAGAATAGGGTAACACCTCTAAGCAGCTCAAACAGCAGCCTAGGAAATGCAGTCTAGTGGCAATGATGCCATATCAGGGACATTTAAACACTGTTGGGGACAATGGACAGAATATTTGAAACCGAGATGAACTGAGAAAAATCTAAAGTGCCAGTTCCTTCACGTGTGACACTCTCCTCCTCAAAGACACCAGGCTGACATCCAGGCAAGGCAGAAGCCAGGACCTGTACAGGCTGTGAGAGCATAGTGCGCCAGCCTTGGGGCAGACTGTGGGGCTGAGTGAGAGAACAGGAAAAGAGTGAGGGTGGGTGGGGAGAATTGATTAGGCAAAACCGCCACCCTCAAGGCCAGCCTCCATCTCACATGCCTGAATTCTACTCCAAAGCACCCTTAATCACCATACTGGAAAATTGTTAATCCTTCTTTTTCACTGTGTAGTTACCTGAGTGTCAAGGACTGGAGCAAGCCCTGGACAGACTCTAACTCGCTAACCCTGTGGGTTAAACATTATCACCATCTCCTCTTTTAAAAAAGAGGTAGAAGCACAGAAAGCTGGAGGAACTTGCTTCCTCGGTGAGAACACCGGAAATGGCTGAGACAGGATTCAAACCTTCACAGAGGGCTCCAGACACCCTCTAACTGCTGTGCCCCTTGACTTTGTAAAATGTTCCTGTTCCCCCTTGGCTGCACCTTGAACCCCTCTCTAACTCTTGGTAGTTTTAGAACCGCACCACCCCTATCACTAGCACTCGCTTCCTTATGCTTGGGTCCTCAGTGAACTAAGTGAAAAAAATGTCAGGGACCTTTCCTCAGGGACACACAGGTCTGACTAATTACAAGTTATCACCTGGAGCAGGCTCAGGGAAACGGGATCCAGAATGGGGCTGTGTGGCCCACCTGGGAGGGCTCAGCTTTCACCCCATGGCCAGCTGCCAGCACCAACACCCCCCAGAGCTGAGCAGCTAACAGACCAGGCTTGGGACTGCTTTATCTCCAGCTAACACCTGGCTGCTCCCCCTCCTCTGTTCTATTGGGGAGTTTCCTTGTGGCTCTAATGAAAACCCTCATGTCACATTGAAAAGTTGCCAGTTACTGCTGCAGGGAATAAAATCCAGCCTCCGCTGGGGTTGCATTCATGGGGAGCTGTGGTTAGAATAATCCCTCATGTGAGCAGCTCTCGAACATAATTAGATGCACCAGGTGGAGCTCCTCCCAGACAGCCAATAAACAAACAAACAATAGGACCTGCCAGGCCCCCTTCCTTTGCTCCTGCACCCTTGGGAAGCATCACCTACCTCATGCAGACTGCTACCTCATGCGGACTGGCTCAAGATCCGCCCCACACCCCCCCAAAGATAAGACAAAGCTAAAGCTTAGGGCTCTTAGTGAGTTCTCAGTAGTTGCCAATGTCTCTACCAGAGCCCTAGACACCAGATAAGTCTACTGGAAGCTCATTGAACGTGCAGCTTGCTTGGATCTCTCCTGGAACCGCTGAATCCATCCCTACCACTGGGGTTTGGGAATTTCCATTGTTTAGCCTTCTGTCCTGACCTTGACCATCTGAACTGGGTGAGAGACACCCTGTGTATATCCCCTCCTAAGATGGCAACTCTCAGGAGTCTGGCTAAGACTGGGCGTTAGCATTGCTAGCATATAGACCCATCACTACAGCTATTTCTGTATCCTGCTGTTCCTCAGCAGCTATGGCTCCAGTAAAGTTGAGGCCACTCTAGCTGTTTCACTCTGAGTCACTCTTTGAAGGTGAAGGTAACCACAGTGAGGACTAAAAAGCACTTTCAGAGCCTGGTGCTCTGGCCAGAAGCCATTCATTTTAACAGTAGGGGTAAGAAGGGAGTCTGTAGCCTGCAGAGTTGGCTGTGACTGGGACTTCAGAGAGATTGGGAGCTCCAGCCATTGGTACCATCAGAAACATTTGCATTAGGGAAAATTGAAAAAAACCATAATTTTGGCAAGAGAACCCCCATAATTGGCAATGGCCTGAGACATTCTGGGTTGTCACAATGGTGAGGGGACACTACTGGCCTCTAATGGAAGGAGGTCAGGGATACTGTTAAATATCCCATTATGCACAGGAAATTAAAAAAACACAACAAGCAATTATCTGGCCCAGAATGTCAATAGCCCCACTGTTAAGAACACAACTAGGGGGTTGGAGAGATGGCTTAAGAATGCACGTTATGCAGGGCAGGGTGGTGCATGCCTTTAGTCCCAGCACTCAGCAGCAGAGGCAGGCAGATCTTTGTGAGTCAAGGCCAATCTAGTCTACATAGTGAGTTCAAGCCATTTGGGGCTACAGGGAGACTGTGTCTCTAGAGGACTGGAGTTTGGTTCCTAGCACCCACACCAGACTGCTCATAATCGCCTGTAATTCCAGCTCCAAGGAATCCAGCACCTTCTAGCTTCTGCAGGCATTTGCACTCATGTACACTCCCTCTCACACGAATACTTGTGACTAAAAAAAAAATCTTTTAAGAATACGAATGGGGCTGAAGAGATGGCTCAGCAGTTAAGAACACTTGCTACTTATGCAGGGGACCTGCGTTTGGTGCCCAGCACCCACATTCACAGCCATCTGTAACTCCAGTTACAGAGAATCCAATGCCCTTCTGGCCTCTGTGGTCACTGCGTACACATGATGCACATACATACATACATGCAGGCAAACACTCATACACATAAAAAATTAAAATTAAAAAACTTAAGAAAGAATACAAACAGGCTGGACTTTGGGGTAATCCCAGTTACTCAGGAGACTGAGCAAGAGGACTGCAAGTTCAAGGCTTTCCTGAACTACAGAGGGAGTTTAAAGTCAACCTGGGCAACTTAATGAGACCCCTCTCTCAAAATAAAAAGTAAAAAGGAGGTCTTGTGGATATAGCTCAGTAGTAGAGCACTTGCCTAGCATGAATGAGGCCACAGGTTCAATCCCCAGTACCAGAAAAAAAAAACAAACAACAAACAACAAATATATGAGAGAATACATAGAAGATAAACATATAAGATGTATACATACATGATATGTACATACAAGATGCCATCAAAGACATATGCTCCTATCCACTTATGTTCTCAGTGTGAATTAACACAGAGCATTAATTCAGGCTTTGGATTTGGAGTGGGAGTTTTCTAAGCTTCCATTTGTCATTATTTGTCTGGAAAGAGGATGTGGCTCAGCCCAGGGGCCAGCAGAGAAAGGCTTATAGGTGGATTACACAGCGAGTGTTCTGTATGACCTGAGCTTAAAGGACTCAGTTTACCTGACATCCAGTAAATACTAAGACTTGAATTAAGACCTAGATTCCTTTAGAAATTGGTCATCAAATTAATGGTAGTATATGGACGAACAAATGTTAAGTTCTGGCTATCTGATAAGATTTATTCCATACAAATCCTTAGGTGGTCTTTTTTTACTGAAGAGTTCAAAAACAGACCATTTAGTTGATAAAACTGAATCTCCCATGACTTAACGGAATGGAACCAGCTACAGATTGAAACGGGATGCTGCTGTGGAAGCCAGGCTGCAGGGGCCCAAATTTTTCTTTCCATTTGATTCGATGCAGTTCAGTGGTTGATTGTATGTAGAGGAGGACTACCTCCCGATGATCCGGTTCCCTTCCGTTTATGTGGCCAGCACCTCAGAGGGCACAGATAATTTGTATTCCCTATAAAGTGAATCAGTGTTTTATGGCTGAAAAGGGAGTGATTCCATTTGAATTAATCGGGGAATTGAAGGCAAAGGTAATTGATGGAGCTTTTAAGGACATTCTTCCCCGATTGAGAGGATCTTGTGGCCACATTCCGAGATGCCTAAGCAACAGCATGTGTCTCGCTATTACTCAAGGGAGACCTGTTATCTTAGCTACACTCACGTAGGGACTGGGGTTTTTTACATATCAGATTAAGGAGTAACTATATTCCAACTGTTGAAGCTGAACATACTTATTATCTATAACCCTGTATCTCCCCATTGTAAAAGAAGCACACAGTAATATTATTGGGAGGAAACATACCTTTCAGCCACTTTGGACATTTTCAAACAATGCCTGTCAATCTGTGCATTCAAAAATGTTATCTGGGAAAAGAGAGAACAGGGATGCTGAGACAAAAATAGAATTCTTGACTCTCCTTCATTTCATAAACCAAATCTATCTTATAATCCCACCAGGATCCCAAAACCTCCTCGGACAAAACGTCTGCCCTCTCCCTTGAGCTCCTGCAACCAATTTTCCCTTTTGGGAATTCCTGCCATACTTAAGATTTTCCTGCAGTTTAGCTTATGTCTCATTTTCATCTGCACAGTACTATCATTTAATTCTTACTTCCTCTCAAATCATTCCCTGAACTTAAAGACAGCATGTAGTCTACAAAGCTTAGCAACAAGATGGGCAGATAGTACATGTACCATAAAAATATGTTTTGTTTTGTTTTTTGTTTTTTAAAAAAAACTAAACCTGGGGGCTGAAGAGATGGCTCAGTGGTTAAGAACACTGTTCTTGCAGAAGACCTGGGTTCAAATCCCAGAACCCACATGGCAGCTAAAAACTGTCTGCAATGCCAGTCCCAGGGGATCCGACAGCCTCTTCTGACCTCCGCAGGCATTGCACAACATGGGTGCACTTACCTACATGCAGGCAATCCACGCATACACATAAAATAAAAATAATAAATAAAAATTTTTCAGAAAGTTAAAAAACACTAAACCCTAGTGATGGTCCCTCTGCCCAATTTTTATAAATTACCACACCCATGAATTATCAAATGTTCTTTTGCATCTGTCTGTTTCTTCCTTCTCCCCATCCATAAACTTGCCAAGGGAAAGTACTCAGAGTTAGTCCTTTGCCCAACCCCTGCCAGAAGCCATTAAAGCATAACAAAAAATAGGACTAAAGTTGCCTCATGAGCAATGTGGATCAGAAAGGGGTGATGTCACCAACTGTTCTCGGCTAACCTGGGATCCTCATCACGAAAGAAAATAATATACATATAAATGATGCTGAGATGACATCAAGGTAGGGCTGCTTTATTCTTATGCTTTCCTTTTGAATCTTAGCAGTAGAGCTGCTTCATTCTAGAAGTGCATCCCAATTTTAAGGTCTCCAGGATGGGACATGAGTCCCTTTTTCCCTAGCTCCCACAGCAGTCAAGTGGGAAACCTGACTTCAGCAGCCAGTCCATCACTGGGATAGCTCATTCACACATATCCCTTTTCAAAAAGATTTACTTATTCTAATTGTGTGTGTGTGTGTGTGTGTGTGTGTGTGTGTGTGGTAGGTGCACACATGTCCTATCCAAGTGTATACATGTGCACCATGTGCAAGTACCAACAGAGGCCAGAAGTGTTGGATCCCCCTGAACTGGAGGTAATCTTAGAACTGGAATTAAGAGGAAGTTGTGAGCTGCCGGATGTGGCTACTGAGAACTGAACCTGGGTCCTCTGAAAGATGTAAGTGCTCTTAACTGTTGAACCGTCTCTCCAGACCCCATTCATGACCCTTTAAATAACCGTTGGAGGAGTTCGGTGGACAATCTCAAGCTTCCATGGCATGCACACATAGCTTCAAGTCATTTACTGCTGCGTTCTACTCTGGTTTTTTAGGACCTCAAAGCTCACTCTGCCTTGAGGGGTGAACATTAAAAGGGGTCTTGGATCCTGCTGGGAAGGTAACAGCCAATTCACTCACCTGTTTCCTGATGTCATCTTTTGTAGTCTTCCTAATTGGCTGGCTGGGTATGTGCACAGGGCTCTGTGACTGGGACTCTTCAGTTACACCATACACTGACTACAGAGGAAGCAAGAGTATGAATCACACACTCTCAGCTCAGGGTCAACCCCTCATCCAGGTCTTTCAGTCTCCTTTACAACATCAGTCAAAAGTTACTGTCCTCTGCTTGAATTTCTGCCATGGTAAATTGCCTCTTGAGAGACCTCATCCTATATTGGGGTTACAGCGGCTAGACAGTCCTTTCTTTATTGAGTCAAAATTGTCTCTTTGGGTATTATTCTTTCTCCAAATATGGCCAGAGACCATCTGCTGGGGTTTTTAGGCAAAGATGCACATTACTGATCCCCATCTCAAACCAACTGAATCAGAATCCTCATGGGTGACTTTGGAATTCTGTACTTTAATCAAATACCCCAGGTGATTTGAGGTCAAAACTGAGTTGGAGAGCAACAGCTGAAGGTTTTGTGCAAAAATCCCTTCTAAGCTGCCTACTGGTCAGCAGATGACATACCCATTTGGCACAAAACTGAGATGTCAGGTTTCCTGACTAGCGTTGCCTTTAAATTAAATAGTTTTCTGGTCTCAGTTTTTATATACATTCACAGCTATGACTCCTGTTCCTGGTATTGTGAACAGACAAATGACAGTCTTGGCTTTGGGTAAGAAACCACCTTGAAGGCTCTGCAGAGCATAGCAGAAATCTGTAATGAAAAGGTTCACATGATATACACTTGGTGCCAAAAAATTCTGGAATATTAGAATTAGGGGTCTTTAAAAGCTAAATAAGGACAATGGGGACATTTAAGACCAGAAATATAAAATATAACACAGCATTGTTATTGCCCCTAATGAGCAATATGTAGGAAAATTCAAGAAATATATGAATGTACATACACTTATACTTGGGGTCTCCCTCCCCATGTGACACACACACACACACACACACACACACACACACACAGACACACACGATTTATACTTGCAAGTTATTCCTAGTCTTAACATCTGAAACTGAAATCTCAAATCCCAAAAAAACCACAAGTGGAAATTTTCACATTTTACCTCATGGGACAGGTTTTGGTCAAAACATAGGACACTAAAAATATTGTATAATATTACCTTTGGGCTATGTGTATAAGGTAGTAATGAAACAAGTGACCTTTGTATCCAAACTTGGGCCCCGCCCAAGACAGCTCATTAGGTATAGGCAAGTATTCCAAAATCTGAAATATTTCTGATCCCAAGTGCTCTGAATTTGTAATTTGTCATTGTATGAAATAGGAATTTTGGGGGGCATACCTCTAAACTCTTGAAATCAGTGTTATGGAGCATAGCCTTGTTCTGCGGCATGGTCTTTGAAGAGGGAGGATGCACTGATGGGGGGCAGTCTGAGTGGGTCCCTATAGAGAACCACCCTTTTCAGTGACATACAAGGGATCATGGGTCCTTCAGAATTGGGCCAAGATGGTGATGTGGGTTTTGACAATTTGGCTCCACTGAGACTCTTTCATTTATTTCTAAGCACCAAGCTCTTTGTACCTAGAGATTCTCCCACGTTTTGTTTCTTTAGTTTCCTTCCCTCACTGCCACCTCCCTAGAGCCAGCTGCTATTTGTTCTTCATCTCAGGGGACCCTGCTTTCAGGAAGCCCTTGGGAAGCCCCAGTCTGTCATTGGCTGCACCCCCTGGGGGCTCATGAACCATCCCATTCTTCCTAATACAGCACTGTAGCCCTGCTGCCTGCCTGCCTGCTGTCTAGTTTCATTCTCCACCAGACTGTGGGTTCCCCAGGGCCTGACACTGAATCCCAGCAACATGCACAATGCCTAGCACACCAGCAACTGCACAAGTATTTCTAGAATTTATGAATACAATGATTTCAAAAGATAAACAAGTAGCAAATTACTATCTGAAGACTACTGGAAACAGAGGGTCATTTCCACCAAGAATTTTTTTTTTTTTTTTTTAGAAGACAGAGTCTCCTTGTAGCCCCAACTGGCCTGGAACTTACTATGTAGACCAGGCTGGCCTTGATATCACAGAGATTCGCCTGCCTCTGTCTCCTGAGTGCTGGGATTTAAAGGTGTGTACCACCATGCCCAGCCAACCAAGAAGTTTTAATTCAGCTAAACTATCGAACCTTTTTAACCTTTTGTGGATTCTTTAAACGTCGACATTTTCTGATATCCATTTCTGTTGTGTTCACACAGCCTGGCTGAAAGAAAAAAATTGTATAAATTACTAAGTGAAAATTACTCTTCTAATTGAACCAAGTAATACTAGAAGATCCAACCTATCTTTCCTCTTATGGACACCACACAGAACATTTATTTTTATTTATTTATTTATAAAAAAGATCTCCATTTCATTTCATATATTGTTCCTTGCAGAAAGACTCATGGTTTTAGCTACTAACACTGAGATGTTGGTGCATGCATCTCTCATCTGTATGTATCTGATTATTAATAGTCATAATCAGTTGCACTTGGATCCTCTGCACTTGTGTATGTCTATAAAGTCATCAGATAGATTTCAATGATAAGGTTTATCACCTCTAATAATTAGCATGACATAAATTTCCATGCTTCCTCCTCAAATATAACACATTTAAAAAAATGTGTTGATTTTTTTTTGTGAGTGTGTGTGTATATATCACAAAGAACATCCCAAACCATCTCATTCGACTATATACCCACTTCCCAGATAGCACCCTCCCATAGCCTCCCTCCCCCCACTAAGCCCTTATACTCTAATATTCCTGCTACTGTCTGCTGTGTTGTCAGCACCCCAAGCCATTCCCCATGACTTGCCCGTCTGGTGAATCTTGTCAGCCTATCTAGAGGTCTTTGTTTTAGGAGGGCCAGCTGTTCCTCATCTAGCAGTAATCAGTTGTCAATATTCCTTTGGAAAAGATTGGGGTCTGTTGTTCAATTTCCCAGTTCTATGCAGGGTTACTATCTGGGAATCCCTTTGAGACAAGGTCTTTCTGTAGCCCCAGCTGGCCTGGCACTCTGTATGTAGACCAGGCTGACTTTGACCTCACAGTGATTCACCTGAGTCTGCCTCCCAAGTGCTGAGATTAAAGGTGTGTGCCACCATGCTGGGCTAGAACATTTTATCTTATAACCATGCTTCTCTGTGAAGTTCTCATTGGAAACAGAAAAGTTGACATTGTAGTAGGAATAATTCGTGGAGGGTCTAGTATATATTTCTAGGATCAAGCCTGTATTCAAGTGGCCAGAAAGCTTCTGAAAAGATTCTTATGTCAGGGCAGGGAGCTATTTTTTGTTCTTGCTTTTAATCAGTTTTTAGGGCGGTTGAAGTAGTTGATGCCATTTTCAATTCCATTTCCTGAGGGCAATCAAGATTTGTTTTAGAAATGTGAAATTAGAAACACAGTCAAACCTCATTGTTTATGGGTTTCTTCTACTTGCTAAAATTTATTTGTAACCTCCAAATCAATGTTCTCAGAGGTATAATGACCATTTACAGACATGTGCAATACGGAGGCACATCCTGTACCCACACCCAGCCAAGCCCAACAGGGTCAGGCCCTCCTGTTCCATACTGTAAAGCAGTCTCTTTAGCGTTTATTTAGCACCAGGTCTTCTATATTTCTGTGCATGTTTTTGGTGATATTCTCATTTTCATTGGCTTTCAAACAGGGTGACAAAGAGTTGTATAGTGCTCTAAGGACAGGGGACTGTGATGTGCCATAGGATAAAATAGGTAAACTATACTCTGATCTGAATCATAGTGCTGCTGGCTGAGGGTTTGATGTAATGAGTGAGTCAACATTATATATTAAATACAGCATCTTTACACAGGAAGACACATTAAACAGAGTTGTATATCGGTCCTTTGACAAAAATTGTGACCAGTGACTCAAAGGAACATAACTTGTATTTCACTTCAGTATTCACTAATTCAGAGTTTGCAAAGACTTTATAGAACTTAACTACAGTAGATGACAAGCATTTATCATACGTGAAAAGAACATTTAGGAGTCAGGGCTGAATGGTAGTGGAAATGAAAACTGATAATTTGGAGGGATGTGAACTTCAAGGTTCTAAAGTTCTTATGGAATTCCCATCATTCCCTGACTTCATATATTCATAGGTGGGTAATTGATTTTTATTTTATGTATATGAATGTATTGCCTGCATCTGTATAAGTGCACCTGTGTCATGCAATGCCCACAGAGGTCAGAAGAAGATATTGGATTCCATGGAACTGGAATTACAGATGATTGTTAGCGACCATGTGGGTGCTGGGAATCAAACTCGGGTCCTCTGCAAGAGCAACCAGTGCTCTTTAGTCCCAGGTGGGTAATTTTTAAAAGGTAGACCTGACATGCCCTCCAGAAGAGCTCTGAGAGTGTTTGAGTGAAAGGCAATTAACCGCTGAGCCAACTCTTTAGTCCCAGGTGGGTAATTTTTAAAAGACCTGACATGCCCTCCAGAAGAGCTCTGAGAGTGTTTGAGTGAAAGGCAAGAGCAATTTTAAAGCTTAGCAATTATCTTAAGAATGATTCAGTTGGTCAATAAAGGCAGTCTTTTCTTTGAAGAAAACAGCAGGGTATGTGTGTGGGGGGTGGGGAATGAATCCAGTCTAGAAAACTGTGCTGGTTAGTTTTTACCAACTTGACACAAACTAGTGACACTTAAGAAGAGAGACCCTCAACTGAGGAATTTCCTCCATTAGAATTATTGATGATTATGTCTATGAGGCATTTTCTTGAATGCTGGTTGATGTAGGAGGGCCCAGACCACTATGGATGATGCCATCTCTGGGCAGGTGAGCCTGGGCTATAAAGGAGGCTGGAGGGAGCAAACCAGTAAGCAGCATTCTGCCATGATCTTCGCTTCAGTTCCTGCCTCCAGGTTCCCGCCTGAATCCCCTCAAAGATGGACTATGCCTTGGACGTGTAAGATGAAACAAACACTTTCCTTCCCAAGTTGGTTTAGGTCAGTGTTTTAATCACAGCAACAAAAAGCAAACTGGGTAAGAACCAAACAGAGCTTCCTTACCACTGGCCTGTGAACATCCCAAAAGGCCCGTTCTTGACTATCCAAAATTTTTCTTTCTGTCTTGTCCTTTTTCCGGTCAATCCTGAAAGAGTAAAGAGAAGAAGTAATGGGCTTTTGGACTGTTTTTTCTTCCAGTTCCTCAGCTCTCTCCTCCTCCTAGGAGCTAAAGTGTACCTGAGATCAACTGCTTCCAGCATGGTCCCTCCAGAAAACATCAGAAACTCCACACATGGCAAGAGCTTGCTTTAATCTGGATTACAACATGTGTGCAATGAACATTATGGGCAGAAAAGAAGAGAGAGCAGGAACAGAGCTGTCCCTGTGAGGTGCGAAGGTCTGTGTTATGAAGAACTGGATTATCCACAAGCCTGGCCCTGCTTCAAAGTGAATACTGTGTATGCAAATTGAGAAGAAGGAATATTTTGCCTCAATACTCCACCTCAAATTTGAACGTTTACTTTAGATTCATAGCAGTCAAAATGTCTTTAAAATGGTCTAATTATGTGTTTTAAATGCCACTTAAACTATCTGGCTCTCTAAAGGCAGAGTAATGGCTGTAACCCGTGATCAGTAAGGCCCCAAAGACAAACATCTCCAGCCTCAGTTGGGAAAGGCACAAATGGCAGAGGAAAATTACAGGTGACAAAGGCAGATTCCGTGTGTTCTGATCAGCAGCCCACAGAAGAGCCCCCCCCCCGCCCCACTTAAAGCATGTATTACTACATATTATCTAAGTAAAAGCAACTTGGGTTAATTGCTGTGTAGCTTCTGGATCTCAGTTCTCTTGGGAGCCCTTTAGTTTATTGGACTGAAATAAATCCATAATCACCCTGTGATTTTTGTGATAATTGCTGTGTACTTAAATGGCCCACGATTATAATGCAATCACAGAGTTAATCAAAAAAGTTAATGGAGAAAAGCCATACATGTATGAAGTGACAATTCCCCCTCCTTAATGTGCATGTGATGCCATTTGATTCGGGAAGAGTTAATCTGTGCTTCTCTTTGCTTCCCAGTGACCTGTGTGTACACAGGCATAGATCTCCCTCAGTGCATCCAAATCTGAGCCTCCTTCCCACCAGCTCTCCCCAGCTCCCACCTTCTGTTTCTCCAGATGTTTCATGCGGCAGCTCAGCACCCAGTACCCACCTTCCTTGGGGACATCTGGGAGTATTGGGGGCGGGGGGATCAGCAGGTGGCTGGCATTGTGGGCCAGGGAAAGGCAGAGGTAACAGAGGGCAGGTAACAGCTATGACAACATGCAGACTGTGGGGCCAGATGACTTCACCTCATGTCAAAGTGATCTATTCTCACCCCCATAACCCCAAACCCAACCAATTCTAGTTATACGTGTGTGTGTGTGTGTGTCCCCCACAGAGTGTGAAAGGGCCTCTGGAGCTCTATGGGGGCTGTTTACCTACAAGTGGTACCCAGAAAAATGCCCTTGCCTAGTTCAGCTTTTTTCCCATCATTCATCTGTCCACCTTTGCCTACTGGTATGACCGGCTAAATCAGACTCCATCACTCCGTCACTGACTGGGAAGAACAAGGGAGACCCAAACCACAGCAATTTCATGTCCAAGAATTTTGTGTCTCTGTGTGGCAATCATATTTATGAGCTGGGGGACACTTATTCTCTGTCTCATGTTTCCTTAGGGAAGAAGGAATGTCCACTCTGCCTCTATGAAGGAGCATATGGACCAAATACTCCCAGCTTTTTTCTTCCTTCCCTCTTGTGGAGGACGAATGACTTAACTTACTGGAAGATTGGAAAGGAAGAAGTGAGAAAGCACAGGCTGGTCCTTCTGGGTCCCCATCTGGGTCAGCTGGAGTTCAGGATATTTGTTCTCTGCCATAAGCTTACAGGAGTCAGCTCTGTCCTGGTGGAGCGGGTTTATAGGTGCCCACCTCTGCCCAGGAAGGACACAGATCCTAAGCCACACCTTTGAATGTAGCTTCAATGAACGGACTCCAAAACTCTGAGCGCTGTGTCTTATTTTCCTACTAATTTTAAGCTTCTTCCCTATATGGGAGAAGGGGGAAGGGGAACTTGTCCTCTCTTACAGTTTAAGTATGAAATGTCTCCCACAGACTCATACATTTGAGCACTTGGCCTCCAGATGTAGGTGCTGTTTTAGGAGAGTGTGAAGCTTTCAGGTGAGGTCTGGTAGTGAAGGCGGGTCACTGGGGGCAGGCCTTTGGAGCCCAGCCCTGGTTCCAGTCTAGTTCCCTCTGCTTCCTGACTCTCTATGATGTGAGTAACCTCTGCCACATGCCTCTACCCCCAAGCACTCTGTCATGCCTTCTCATCATGATGGTCTGAAACCCCTGAAACCATGAGCCCCAATAAATCTTCCTTCCCTTAAGTTGCTTCTATCAGATATTCTGTCAAAGTGACAAGAAAAGTAACTGACACATCCTCTCTGAACTTGCAACATGCTTACCCACAAAGTCAAAATCTCTAGCCCATAATAAACTGGGTCTGATGTTTTCCAGTCTCCTAGAACAGGCTTCTTGAAAATCTCTTGGGCAAACTGGTGCATCTTCTTACTCAGAGCACTGCGTTCATCGGTCGGAGGGTGGGGGTGGGGATCCTCCTTGTCTGATGAAACATGCTTTGGAAGTTGTCTTAGGATGACCTTAGTTCCAAAGATGAGACTGCACCCTGACCTTCATTTTTACCCCATCTCTCCCGAGAGAAGGGAGCAACCCACACAGCTGGAAACCTCCCAATGGCCATCATACCCTTATACCATTTCCAGACTCTAGAGAGTTCTTTTCTCTCTGAAGGGTCTTTGCTGAGTTCACCTACTTTACTTGTGCTTCTGCTTGCATAAAGATGAATTCCCACTTCCTCGCAAAGGCCCTCTGGAGTCTCGCTAAGTTTTCCTAAAGAGAAATGAAAGTCAATACAAAGGCATTAATCATCATGAGTTAATACATGGACATCTATGCTTACACACACACACACAAACTTGCAAATAAAATGAATCTTTTTAAAAAGGCTCCTGGAAATAGTAGCTTGTGGTTGTTGGGAAAGGAATGGCAGAGTCTCTATAAGCTGTCGGATCCTTCAAGAGCAAAGCTCAGGATGAGTCTCCTGAGGACACACTCCCAGTGGGGAGCTGAGAAGAAGCACGAAAAGGAGGACCAAGGGGCCTTTGCATTAGTGCTTCTTAAGGTCAGGCTCAGAAGTGGATCAGATACTGTCCATGTTTGATAAAATGAATCTTTTTAAAAAGGCTCCTGGAAATAGTAGCTTGTGGTTGTTGGGAAAGGAATGGCAGAGTCTCTATAAGCTGTCGGATCCTTCAAGAGCAAAGCTCAGGATGAGTCTCCTGAGGACACACTCCCAGTGGTGAGCTGAGAAGAAGCACGAAAAGGAGGACCAAGGGGCCTTTGCATTAGTGCTTCTTAAGGTCAGGCTCAGAAGTGGATCAGATACTGTCCATGTTTGTGATGTTCATAAAAAGAAAAACCCCAAAACCAAAAAAAGGAAGGAGCAGAGGGGGAGAGGGGAAGGGGGAGGGGGAGGGTGAGATCCAGGATTGTCCTTAATGGAAAGGGAGGATATTTTCTCTCAGCCTGCAGACTACCTAGTGGAGCCTTAGGACCGTAAGGAGGGGCGTGTGACAGGTGCCCTAATGATCCTCCTAATTCTGATTAATACAAGTCTAGAGTCAATATTATGGTATATATTTCCATAGAGCTCATGCCAACACTAATGGATTACCCTCATTAGTGGATTATTAATATAAAAAGGAGCTTCATTTAAGGAGCACACAACTTTACATCTATTACCAAGGCTGGTATGCAACCACTTCTAAAAGATCTGTCCATTGGACTCCTGCACTGTTCATAGGAAGTCCTGCCAGTATACCTAAATGTCAGTCACTTGGGGAGAAGTGATATGAACTATGACTCTGTCACGCTGTGGAATACTAGGCAGCCATTTAAAATGGCAATGTAGGTTAGTATTACCAACACAGAAAGATTCCCTAGATATCATAGTCTATGAAAGGAAAAGCAGCCAGAATAATGTTTCTGTCATTCTATATTTTTGTAAAGAGAAAAAAAGTATGTGTAGAAATAAAATCTAGTGACAGAATCTTTATTTTCTCTCCTTTCTTTGCTGTTTGAATTTTTGTTTTCTACAGAGTATATGAAAACTAAAAAATTTAATAAAATTAGTATATTTTGGAAACAAAATATTTTCTAGTTTCTAACTATTTTGTGCAGAACTCTATCCTGGAAAAATCTTTATGCTGTATTCTTTACAAATACTGGAGTTGGGACTGGAGAGATGGCTCTGCAATCAAGAGTGCTGGCTGTTCTTGCAGAGGACCCTGGTTTGAATCTCAGCACCCAGATGGTGGCTAACAATCATCTCTAACTTCAGTTTCAGGGGATCTGACACTCTCTTCTGTCCTCTGAGGGCACTTCACAACACGGGTGCACTTATACACATGTAGGCAATACACTCATATACATAAAATAAAAAAAATACTAGAATTGACCACTATAGGGCAAGAGAACAGAAAACTGAATAAAATACATCAGAAATTGATGCTGTCTTATTTCTGTGCTAGACCTTTTCTAAAACATAGAAATGTGGTCAAGAGCACAGATAGCTCAGGGGTTTTCCTGATGTTATGTTAGGTAAGTCATATGGTGATGGCAAAGCTGTTTGCCTTGTGTATATAGCAAGGAAAACATCAGTCTTTGGAAAGAGGAGTGATGTGACTGCTGGGGTGTCAGGGAAGACAGGGGCAGGATCAAGCTCCCAGGATACTCAGAATCACACACACACACACCATGTCAAGTTTGAAGACACATGTGATGTCCAACATATAATCTGATATGCAAACATTAGCCAGATCCTAAGGCTCTAGACCACCTCCTTGCACCCCTCTCTGCCCTTCACCCCAATCACAAGTCTGTGATACCAGTGGGAACAAAGAGAGTGGTATGCCACACCAGCTCTGCAGTCTACTGGCCACACATTTGCCTTTGGGTGGTGGAGAGAGGCCCTATGGTCCCAGTCGGCTTCCTAGATTTGAACACCAGGATTCAAAGCCTGGCGGAGGAGTGGAGCCTCCTGACACTTCTTGGAGAGGACTGAGGCAGAGAAAGTGGGAGGTGTCTTTGGAGCATGGGTGGAGCTGAAGATGCTGCTGATTCGGGCTTTCAAGGAAAGAGTCTCCACTACCCTTAAGGCTGCCTCTCCTCCCTAGTTCCTGCCCTTGAGTCAGCTCAGCAACACCTGCACCAGAAGGTGGATGGGAAGAGAGAAGAGGGAGGCACATGAACATTTAACCAATTGCCCTGGTTCTCTATGATCTGTGTAAACCCAGTTTAGGGAAGAGATTCTGAAATCAGAACTTAAAAGTATATTTTAACTTATCTGTGAATCTTTGTGTTCTCTGTGATTTTATTTCTGAACTCTGTCCAGTGGGGATGGACATGAGTGAGGTGGTGGGGGCCTTTAGTTCTTGCAAGGAATCCCATCTTATAAAGGAAGATGGAGGAGGCAGGTAGGCAAGTGGGGAAAGGAGATGTCCTTTGTGACAGACACTTTGATTTTCTGGTTGCATTTTTGTCATTGGATTCTGTCTCTACTAAGCACAGAAGAGTGAATATAAAGGTGAAAATTTAATTAAAAATTATTAGGCAGCAAACTTGAAAATTTATCTTCTGGAACAAATTTGGTGAACTCTAACACATGTATACCTTTATATAACCATCACCAGAATCAGGATAGTTCTATCACCTCCAAACTTTCCTGGACTACCTCTTTATAGAAATAAATACCCACAATATCTATAACCACAGTCATTGAAGCCCCTGTTCTTCCCAGGATAGTGTTGGCTTTACAAGGGTAAAACTCAACATGATATCTTAGATACGCACGAAGTGGTTGTGTATATCAAACATTCATTCCTTTTTACTGTAGAATCAATTCCATTGTGTGGTGTACTATAGTCAGTTTGATCACTTGCCTATTAAGGTATATTTGGGTTATTTTCAGGCTTGGGGTACCATATAGAAAGCTAGTGTAACCACTAGCTTATGGTTTTATGCGAACATACATTTTGATTTCTGTACGTGGCTACATCTGGTAATTATGTATTTAGCTTTATAAGAAACTGCTGGGGCATTTTCTAGAAGGCCATACCATTTTGACATCCTGCCAGTAATGCAAGAGAGTTTCAGTTGCTCTGCATGTTCATCATCACTAGGTGTTAGCAATACTTTTTATTTTTGCATTCTAATGGGTGTAATGGTACCTTACCATGGGTCTAATCTGCTTATCAAACGACTAATATTGTTGAATATCTTTTCCTGATCTTATTCATCATCTTTTCATCCTCTTGGATGAAATATCTGATAAGTTCTGTGCCTACTTTTATATTGAATTATTCATCTATCTATCATCTGCCTATATACCTATCATCTATCATTTATCTATCATCTATCTATCTATCTATCTATCTATCTATATCATCTATTTATCTTCTATCATCTATCTATCTGTCATCTAGCATCTATCTACCTACCTATCAATCATCTATCTATCTATCTATCATCTAATCTATCATGTATCTATCATCTATCTATCTATCTATCTATCATCTATCTATCTATCTATCTATTTTCTATCATCTCTCTATCATTTGAAATAGGGTCTCACCATGTAGCCCAGGCTGGCCTCACAGTACTCCTGTCTCAGCTTCTTGAGTGCTGGGATTACAGGTATGTGCCACCATACCCAGCTTGAGTTGTTTAATTTTAGTTACTGAAGTTTGAGAGTTATTCATATAATGATGCAACTTTACTGTGATGGTGAGAGTTGCTGATAACAAAAGAGAGGTAACAGGAGAGACCTCTGTCCCACTGTCTGGAAGGGACTGGAGGGGGAAGAAAGGAAAACCACAGATTCAACAGGGCTGCAGAGGTGTCCTCCCTCCCACTCTGGGCCCGGGAATCATCCTACTCACTGCTTCGTAGTCTGCCAGTTCCAGCCTCGCTTTGTTCTGCATCGTCCTCTTACAGAGATAGATGGCTGAGGAAGAAGAGAGATGACTGTGTAAACCCAGCAGTACTGTAGAATGAGCCCAGCATGCACCTTGCCCAGCCAGTCCATCCGACCACTCCTGCTACTGCCCAGCTTCCAGGAGGAGTAACTTCTCTAAGTAGAAGTCATCGCATGACACCTTCCCCTCCTCCTCTCACCCCTGCTTCGCTTCACTCAGAGCGACCCCCACCCCCACTCCATCAAGCGTGACTATGTTACCTCTGGACCCAAAGCTCTGCACTGACTTCTCAGTGACATCAGAAGAAAGATGGGTCTTTAGGGTCGTAAACATGGCTCTTTGTAATCTCATCTCTGCTTGTCCTGTCAACCTCTTCTCCTCCTCCTCACAAACTTTAAGGGGCCGCCAGTCTTAGTTCTACATCTCTGCGTATATGCTCTTTATGTAGAATGCTTCTTTCTTTCCCTCCTTGTCTGGCAATGTCTCACTACTCTCTCTCTCTCTCTCTATGTTCATGTGTGTACAGGTGGATATGTTTGAGCATGCATGTAGAAGTAAGACGTCAACCCTGTGTTTTGAGATAGGGTCTCTCACTAGGACTCCTGGCGTGCATATTAGGCTAGGCTGGCTCTCCACTGAGTTCCAGGACTCCTTCTGTCTCTGCCTCCTGGGCACTGGGATTGCATACCACCACATTCAGATTTGTGTGTAGGTGCTGGGGATTGAACTCAAGTTTTCATACTTGCACAGCAAGCGCCTTATCACTGAGCCATCTCCCCATCTCAGGGCCACTAATATCTGAAGAACCCAGTGCTCTAGAGAGCATCTGTGTACTCTGAATTGAACAATGCAGGTCCACTGTACTCCTGCTTCCTGCAGTGTCTCCTGCTCTAGGCTGAAGACTGTTTAAGGCACAGGCTACGTTTTACTCAGCTGTTGCTCTGTCCTAGGCACCTAGGCCTGTCTTCTGGGTGGAAGGAAAGAGAAGAGGAAAAGAATAATAATTTAGGGCTGTCTGTCCAGGCTAAGGAAGGTTCTCAGCTCTACATTGCCAGAACATTCGTTCTCAAACATGACCTTCACCATCTCTTCTCTCTCTCTCTCTCTCTCTCTCTCTCTCTCTCTCTCTCTCT